CCCCCCCCCCCCCCCCAGGATTAGGGAACTGCAGCAGAAAGAATACAATGGCAATGAAACACCATTATCCTACTAAATATTTTTATACATTACATATAACCTGTCTACCATGGCTCTTAAAAACATTTATTTCCTCAAGTGGGTTATTTGTGGCCTACTGTGATACTAATCTATTAAAACATGCCTTAATGTAATATGAATTGTAGCTAGTATATAGCAAAGAAAACATAATGCTTATGTCTTTAGAAAGATAAGGTTTTCTTACCACATATTTTACAGCACTTATGAACTGGTTATGAAAGAGCAGATGTTGGGTTTCATCCTCTGGATTTGACGCAGTGTAAAGCATTCCACAAATATTACAGGAAATAGCACCAAATCTCTTCTGTCCCGCATCCTATTTTTTTTTAAAAAAGGAAAAAAAAAAAGAAAAAAGAAAAAAAGGAAGGTATTTGTCAGTTGCAAGCACAGTAAACACAGTTCAACAGAACTTTCATCTACTCAGACATGCCTTCTATAACTTATCTTCTGGAAACTCATCACAGAGGCTAAACCGGAATGAAACAGGAGAAAGAACAAGTGCAGAATTCAGAATTTAGAACTCCATCTTTCAAAAACCCACACAGCCTCAAAAGGCACAGGCATCAATCACAGAGCAAACTCTACCTAACATTAAAATTAGCTCCACCCCCATTAGTTTTGAATAAATGGCTTCTCTTTTATTTTATACAAAGAACAGAGAATTCCTCCTTCATTACCCTATTTGCAGTAAATATAATCATCTTCCACAAAGAAAATTCCCATAGCCCCACACTCTTTGGATTTCCCTGCAGCTCTGCTGCTGCCTGTCTTTTGGTTGTGAGCTGCTTTGAGGTGGGCCAAAGGTGAGCCATTTCCCTGAATGTTTAGAAGGATATTATAAAAACCCCAAAAGTTACAGAAATAATCATTAAGATCAGCAATACATCTGCAACAGCTGGTCGCTACCTTTTAGGTTTTTACGAAAACAAAATATTTCAAGGTAATCAAATAGCATTTTGGTTTCTTATCCCTCTATTTATTGGTTAAAAGCCTTATTTAATATACTCTCAGGACTTAAGTCTTAACTCTTAATTGGAAACAGCTAACTACAATGTTTGATATGCTATCTTAATTGCACAAGGTTCATAACTTTTATTTTTCAGACACTGGATAGCAGCTACAATACACATGGAAGATCATACCATTTTATTCATGACCTTTCAGGTTATACTCCTACTCTATAACCAGCCATTACCAAATTAAGGCCATGTCCTGGTTTGGCTAAAACAGGGCTGTTTTCTCCTTTCAGGAGTTTTTCTTTCAATCAAATCCCTTCTAAGATACTTCAGTAGCAACTATAAACATCGAGCGTTATCAGGCCTGAAGCGCAGACAGTGTCTGAAAAACATGTAGCTGTACTTTCAGAAAGTGCAGTCACTTAGAAGGGATTTGATTGAAAGAAAAACTCCTGAAAGGAGAAAACAGCCCTGTTTTAGCCAAACCAGGACAGGGCATTACTCAGTACCTATTGTTTTGCTATTTATTCATTAAAACAGTGTTATTAATTTGGCAGTATGCTCAGATTAAGGAGTCAGTGCCTAAGAGCGCGAAGTATCAGGTGCAGGGGGTGCCTTTTGCAAAGAGCAAAAGAATACCAGTTAGATTGAAGTCTCCAGCCAAAAAAGCATGTTTTAAGTTATGGCTTAGTGCTCGAATACTTTTTTTTTTTCCTTTAACTACATATGGAAATTGACTTTATATAATCAGCAATGTCACTTTTAATCTATTTTAACATATATCACAAGTAATAGAAACACAAAAAGTTATTTTATACTCTAAAATAGGATACTATATAAGCAAAAGAAGGCTTGAGGGTGTTTTTTAAAACGGAATTGATCTGTGCAAAATCATAAGTGTACAATTCATAAGAAAACAGATCACTTGAAAACTTTGGTTTTTAAGGGCTGAAAATATTCATAGTAAAAAACCCTACTTTACAGAAGAAAGCATTTTGCAACACAGCCAAAGTGTTTACAAATCATTTCTTACTCCTTCCATCTTCAAAGATATGTTTAAGTACGTTTAAGAACTAGATGACAGCTCAGTTCTCCACGTAGCAACAACTTATTTCACACAGTCATTGGTGAAATCTAAAATGCAGGTATCAGTTTCTTTCCAAGAACAGACTAAAGGTACAACTGGCCAGGCAAACTCAGAGTTGAACTTCTCTTTAAGAGCACGTGTATTGACCTCGGCCAAAAGAAAGAAGCTGCATCTGAAAACTCATTCCTTTAACGGTACGGTAATTTATACATTCCTACTGTACACAGAAGGAGGAACAGAAGTACTTTAATTTTCTGAAGGAAAAAGGAAAGATGAACCCTGAAGTTAGATTTGCAAAGTCAGCGTAAGATAAGGTTTCTAAAGGTGCAAAAATTGAATCCAATACATTTTCTTTTC